CTTATTTTTGGAGAAAACTCTGCTACTGTGAGTGAATTGTAGGGAATTGTTCTTCAGCAAATGCTTGAGTGCTGAAAAGACAACAATTCTACAGGTTTATTCACTGGAACTGGCATGGTGACTATGTACCTTGAAGCATTTCAAGCATTTCAAAGCTCCCATGAATGCTGGCAAAATCTGCTACTAATGTCTTGTGTTTTTTTTCCAACCCAAGATTGGCAAACTTTGTCTACATGTCAGCAGTTTACAAAAGTCCCAGCACAGTCTTATTTTCATAGCAGGCCCTCTAGGCAGCTTATTTTTAATATGGTAAAATGTTCTCTATAGTTGTCCTGTTTGATTCATCTCTTTATTCCTCAACATCACCTCACCTCAACATAGAGGAGAATTCAAATGGCTGATTTCAGGCTGGTGGCTTCTGTTTCAATTTGCTGGTAGCTCTGGCCTGGGTTTTAGTTCAAATTTCAAAGAAGCAATCTAAAGGGCTGGACCCTATCACCGATTCAGTACCTTGGATAGCTCCTAAAACAGGCAATTGATTCATTGCCCCATTGAAATTTGAATCAATAACCATCATTGTTTAGGTTTAAGCTATAACACTGAATGATACACCAGAAAAAATAAGAAGGGAAGGGATGACATTGACTTTGGTTAATTCATTGTTCTGTTCACAAGTAGCTAGCAAGAAAAATGGCACAGCATTTTCTGTCCATTCTGCATATTTTATGCTTGAATATGTTTATTCCAGTTTAAGAATCACTTTTTGAGATTTTGCAGCAATCCTTTAAGTGGGAATTATTGTAAAATATGAAGGCTGATACTTTCACGAGAAACCAACACTTAGTATTAAAAAGATTTGCCTTTGGCTTCCTTGAAACACGATTAAAAACAGATGGTCATTTAATTTCTAGTGTACAGGAGTAGAGTTTTGTAATTTCTGATATGAGTGACAGCTATGTTTCTATAATTACTGAACATAAATTAAGAGATCAAATTTATTTATTGCTCTTCTCAACTAATTCAAATGCTTGAGGAGGTTGTCACTACTGGATACAGAATAGGTATTGGCAACTATCTGTTGGTATTTCCTACTCATAAGAAAAGCAATAATTGACTTACATTGAGCCCTTGGTATCTTCTGGGATTTGGTTTCAGAGAGCCCACTCTTGTTTTCCAGATAATATATACCCAACAGTGCTTCAGCTTGTACCTAACACTCCTTAAAGAGCTCGATGACATTGCTTGTTTTCCTGCTCTGCACTATTTCAGGAATCTTACCAGTGGGACTTCAGAGAGTCATCTCTTGTTTCATTTGTCCCCCCTTTCCTGTTCAAGGAAACTAGCAAACAGCATTTTAGAGAATCCTCCCCTGCTTTCTAATCCTTTAATACATTATTTCTTGTTGTAATGTGGCAAGTCCCACTCTGTTGAATATAGGGAGCTGCCTGTTTAGAACTGTGACTTGAAATTAGTCACTTCATTTGGATGACAATAAAAAATATTGTTGTGGACAGCATCAGTTTTTAAAAACATTGAGTTGTGGTAGGCCCCCATTATAGTTTCTAGGAAATCCCACATTTGGAATTTCATGTTTTTGACTTGTACTGCAGCCTAAGTAACAACAAAGAAATTTTGAAGTGCCGACTGCAGTATCTTGATGAGTTACGGCTGTTCCCAATGTTGATTCTAGTCACGTTTCTGTGTTTTGTCACCCCTTTCCTTTGGGGTTTAATTCTGAAACTGAGCACAACAATTTGTTTTGTGGCATTATCACACATTTCTGCTGCATCCAGAATTCTGGGAAATGAAATTTAGGGCAGGGTCTTTTGAATTCTCAGCTACAGAAGTCCTCACCTTCCCAAATGACATTTCCCAGAATTCTGCAGGTGGCAGAAATTTGGGGCTGCTCACTTCAAAGTCCTGGTGTGATAACATGGTTGGGTGACACCAAAATATTGGTTTATCTACTATGATTTCCTAATGAGTCAAGACTAACTCCCATGATTTCCTAATGAGTCAAGACTAACTTCTAGCACCCATCCACCCTGATATTTGGAATTACAGTTTGGAACTGAACATTGTAACTTGGATAACAGTGAAAATAGCAAGTGTTTTGAGGGATCCAGAATTATGTCTTGGTTAATTATAGCTGCTACAGACAGATGCTTAGACAATATTTTTAATTATTATGACATCTACATATTATAATATTACAAAGATCAAAGGGGCAATCAATTTAGAATCTGATGCCTGAAAGTAATTTGGTAATTCCAGTTGCAGCAAAGTCATGACATAAATGGAACTTGTATAAGTTCCATTGATTCAGTCCCAACTATAGTCTCAACTATAGTTGGACTAGTAACTGGATTTAGAACTTAACTTAAAATCTAAGTTTTAAAATCAATTTAGAATGTGAATTTTAGAGGAAAGACTGTAGATTTAATTGGCTTGGTAACCTCCTTCCATAGTTTTCTGAAGACTTTTAATGGCAGACTAAGGACTACATGAAATGATAAAGAACATTTCTTTGGGTTACAAATATAACTAAGATTACTGCATGGTTTAGAACATGGTGGTCAACTGTGGCCCTTCAGATGTTGTTGAATAACGGTTTGCATAATCTTTTACTCTTGGCTATGTTGCCTAGAGCTGATGGGACCCACAGACTACAAAGACATAGACGGCCATACTTGCTAACACTTGTTTGAGAAGCACTAGAATTTGAACCTTGCATCCCCAGACATGTATGTTACAAAATGGTTTTTAATCATGTGGTATTGTGAGCAGGATTACGTTCTTTGAATTTTTGAGCTTTTAGTGAAATTTTGCATGGCATATCAATAAAAATCAGCAAATCAGTAGTGAAATGGAATATGATCATTTATTCTCCTCTAGTGTAGTGAAAAAGGAATTGGTAGTAACATGGTTGTAGAAAAGTGGTCTGGGACTTCAGTTAAGATCTGTGAGCTCCTGGGTCCAACATTTACCTGCTTAAGTAGAGTTGTGTCTCTTTTACATTTACTTTTTCTTCAAACGCCTACATTGTCCTCTCAACTTAAGACATTCTTATGGCATCTACTGTTAGCATAATGGGCATGCAGCTGCAGGTTCCAAGCTTTGGTATAGCATCAACCCAATTATCTCCTCCTGTCCTTGGACTGAAACCAGATCCAATCTAGAGCACAAGCAAAGCAGCCAATAGTAAGAGAGGACTCTTCATTTCTTACTCTAATTTATGTTTTTATATGCCGTTGTTTCATCTCAGCATGTCTTCACAAGCAGCTGGTGTCTGCAAGCCAGTTTGGTCAGAAGAAGAAGAAACCTTTCCAAAAGATGCCAACACTACAGTTTCTTATCACAGCATATCTGAATTCTTTCCACCACTCCCTATTCAAATGAATATACATACTTAACATTTAGAAGTATCTGTATGCAGAATTTCCCTTTTCTCTGAGCAGCTGCTCTGCCTCATAGGATAGTCCTTCAAAATATGTTACCGAGACTCTCAGCAGTGCTGGCAAAACTACGTATGTTTAAGGATCAACTTGGGGTGGGAATTAATTGTCTCCTGTCATCACTAGGTCTGCTATATCACAAGACTTGGGTTCTTGAAATGTGAGGCATTCTGCTGCCCACGGCTGACATATTGCAACCTGGAAGAACAAGTACACTTATTTAGCATGTAATGAGAGATCTGTTAATATATCATTCTCAGTGAATTTTGTTGGCCCTTCCGTCTGTCTGCTGTATTGTGTTTGTTTTATTGCAGACATAGACTAAGAGCAGGCTATATGTTTTGGGGACAAATGCATGGAAGCTACATTTATTCCTGTCATTCCCCAAGGCCCATTTAGATCCAAGAATTTGTTACTCCATATCTCTGAAGAAGTCAAGCTTAAGAAAAATCAACTGCTTGTAAGAAAATGGTTTAGAGTGGGAACCAAAGAACGTTAACTTTTAAAGAGTATTTCGCTATGGCTATTTTAGTTTCATAAGTAGAAATTTGAATGATGCTTGCTGCTCCATTGCTTTCTCTTCAAATAGGACTACAGATAAGGTTTTCTATCCTAAGCCTGATTGCACAGTTACTGAACCCCATGGACCCATGGTCAATGGAATCCCAAATGGCCATCCAGACAATGGCCAATGGTGTCAGCAGCAGGAAGCAGGCCCTATGAAAACCATTCCCATAATCAAGTCCCAACCTTATAATTAAGTTCTAGGGTTTTAAAGGACATGCCTGCAACTTTGGCTTAGTCTTGATTTACACATGGAATACTAACTGAGGAAAAAAACCTTCTGGATTTGCCGCAATTTTCCCTTCTTTTTTTTTAAATGTGCGAAGTTCAAGAGGATAGAGGAAAGCCATATGAATGGATTCTTTTGATTCTCCATTATTTATGGAATCTGTGGTTTCTTCTAGAAACCACTTCTAGAACATGGTCATGTAACCAAAAAAAACTACAACAACCCAGTGGTTTCTTCGATAATACATGTGAGTTTAATTTGGATGGATGGCAATGTAGGAATAAATTACTAGACTAAGAGTGAATTTTAGCTAAAAGGAGCCCACAGAGCTATTTCCTTGGTAAATGACAAGACATTCATTTATGGTGGCTCATCAGTACATGTTATCATGATTTATAATCATTATTTATAGGACTATGTGCTTATGTGTGAATCAAAACTGAAAGGCTTAGTGTAACTGTCATAGACCTATAGATCCTAAGATTAATAGTGTTTATAGAACAATTGCAATTTTTTCTTGTACATATATTATGTGTACATGTTTTATATTGTATATAGGTTTGTATTTCTTAACATCTTTCACATCTGTACTAACTTTATATGTGGGTCTGGGGGGGGGGGTGTGAATTGTCACTTTATGCCATTTACATTGAAAATGAATCTTGAAAGAGAAAAAAATATTCAAGTAACCTACTTTATATATTAATATATATGGAAGTGGACAAAAACAATGAAACCACAAATAGCCAATGTGAAAACTTAACTTCCAGCACTTTATTGATCTTAGTGTTACAATGAAGCAAATACATATACAGTAAAGGAAAAACAATGCTGAAATGGGATTCTCACACATATATCTTACAAAATACTTTGTATAACTGCATAGATGAATTAGTGGTCATTGTGGTGTTAGAAAAGTAGTAAGTATAAGCAATACAAAAAAGGACTAAAGCTGGAAAAAGTTCATTTTTTTTTGTTCTGCTTGTGTCTTCTGAAATGATGTATTGGATACCCACAACATCCTTTCACTAGCACTTTGTAAGACATAAAAAAGCAAGTCCTTATAACAAAAATACCATTTGCTTTTGCTGTTATTTATTTATTGTGTCAGGAGTTAACCAAACAGTTGTATTGCATTAAAAAAATCAGGCACGCCATTTATTTAGGTGAGCCATGTCCTATGCAAATATCATGATTCTTACAATTTGCTTGTTGGGTTCAGCCCATCCTTCCAAATAGTATTCCAGAGTCACATATTTCGTCCTTTCAATATAGATTGCCAAATAATACATACACTAGATCTAGGGATATGTGACAACAAGGACTTAATAACATAAAAAACATGAACCATCATAGAACTGTTGACATAACTACTTGTATATAACTCTTACATACAAACATTTATGGGACTGGATTACAGAGAGGAAACATACATAAATGGTGCATCTTGTTCATTTGATCATTAACTAGTTGCACCAAAGCCTTTTATTAACCTAGAAAGTCACAGATATGTTGATATCACTACTGTTACACCAAATAATTTTGTCAACATAGCCAAATCAATGTATGTGTAAATATATTAATGCATAAAATATGCCAATAGATTTTATCACTTTATTATTATGAAGAATCTAATGTTAAATATTTTGTTTATTACCACACCTGGCATCATAAAACAGTATTCTCAGGCAGTTGTTGGGTTCCCAGCACATAGTCCTCCCTCCTTAAAAATATTATCATTTTGTGGTCCCAATCAGCTCCAGGCAACTTCCCAAAATGCTCCAGAACAATATTTATATTGGGGTATTGTGGGGACTAACAACGGCAGCAACATTGCTGTCAAAGTTCTACAGTCCCAGTGCACAACATAAGAGATGAAATACAATCTAATTTAGAGCTAGGAAAAGTTCACCAGTTAGTGTCTGAACACCGATTCCCAAAGACATTGATTGATTATTGCAAAAAATAATACTAAATACATTTAATATTTCTTCTTCTTTGGATTTTTAGGCAATGCCCACCCATCCCTCTCTGTTTGCCTCTCAACTGCCTCCTTCTCAACCCCTTCTCTTCCTCGTCCCTATTCTGAACCACTTCCTGTTCCAGTCTTCTTTTCCCAAACCCTACTGCTTCCTAAAGTTTATGTTTCTTCAGCCTGTAGCTATTATTTTCCTAGTCACCTACTTAGCCACTCTCTGCTCACTCAGGGTGTATTTATTCAGGTATGCATTATTCAGATAAGTCTGACACAGGGCAATACCCACCCCATCCAGTAGCTTTCTGTGCCCTATTTTACATTCCTCAGGAAAATGTCCCCCAACCTCTCCAGAGAAATTTCCCAGAGGACATAAATGGTTGTCAGTGGGAAGATGAAGGTTGGTGTCTTTCCTTCCTTTAACTTTCTCAAGTGAACCTATCTACATAAAATCACTAACTTACTATGTGAAAAATATAGGCCCAAATCCAACTGCTAATTCAGCATAGAATAGACCTTCTTAATTCAAAGGATCTATTCTTTAAAAAATAACAACCAGATTTAGTGTACTGTTTTTGTTTTTAGTTAGGTATGACTGTGGAACGCCATTTTCCTTTTTTTAGACCATGGGGTGAAGATGTGGATGAAGAATAATGTTTAAAATTTCCTCTCCAATTTGTAGCAGTGCAAATCTGCATGTGCCCTGTGCATTTCTCTAGCTATAACGAGAAAGGTGGGTTTAAGCTGCCAACTATCTATTCAACCTCCTGACCTATCCCCCAAACAGTAACTCCTGCATTAAAAAACCACATAAAGCATAAGAGAATTGTTACATGCCACTGGAACATGTAAAAGAAGCCCTTCTGACAGAAGAACTAAAGACTGACATAGTATTTGGAAAGCATGAGGGCAATTACATTTTAATGACTCAATAAAAAGTCATTGGTTAAAACAAGTGATCATCCCCCTTTCCCCCATGCCCTAAGAATTATTGGTCAAAATAAAACGAAATACATCTTGTTGTGTATCAAGCATTTAAAATACTTCAATAATAGGTAGTTCTATTTCATTCATTTCTTGTTAATACTATTTCATTACAGTTCCTACAGGTAACTTTTAGAAAAGACACTGAAAAGTAGTTTATGTCAATTTATCTTCTATCTGAGCTTCTGAACTTGACAGAGCTGTTTCACTGAATACCTTTTTCAGAGCCATACAGAACTATATGGTAGTTTAAACCCCCAATTAAGCATTACTTTGGGAGTCCCAGTGTTCAACAATCCCCAATTCTTATATATAGTATAAAAATAAAGTTTTTAAAAAATATCAAGAACTTATTCAAGAAAAAAAATGTCCAACATGAATTTGCTTCTTGGGTTTTAAAAACTAAAATCTATAACAAAACAAATGCCTAGCAATAGAGTGGAATATAAAAGTAGACCTGATAGAGAAATGCAGAGGGGGGGGGGGACATGATGCCAATAAAGTTTGGGGTGGGGAGGAAGAAACTTAGCAATCTAAAATAAGAGCAGTATGCTAAATATTTGTGTATAATGGCCACTGACAATGAAATAAACACCTAGGATGTTAGTAATTTTATACAATTTCTTAAAACGGATGAATTAAAAATGCTTATCGCATGTGTCTATATATGTTTGCCCTCATGGAAGCCCCATTGTGTTCAACAGGATTTTTCCACAAGTAAGAGGGCATAGCACTACAGCCTTAGACTTCCACTACTTCACATACTTGCAGATGCATAATTCCAACTGAACCCAATAGGACTTATTTCCAAGTAAATGAACATTGGATTGAACTTGCAGAAACATATATGACACTCAAATACACTGTAATTCTGATTCTCCTTCCCTATATCAAACTTACCGAATATTAAATCCCTTGAGGGTACTGAACTAAAATTTCTGTTATCTTCAGCCTGCATGTCTAATCACTAAATACGTGGGATGGCGCAGTCCAATAAAATATAAAAATGTAAAGTCTGAGAAGCCTGTCCTTACATATGTTGATTATATGTAAACTTTTAGAACAAAGTAGTCCCCCTCAAAGTTCCTTAGGACTAAAGTCTGATACCAGGTGGGAAATTAAGTACCTAACTTAGGACTTCATCCCACAGGATAAGTAAAGCATTTGGGATCATTGCTTTCCCCTTAAGCATCACAACTCCCTGTTTGGAAATTAAATGGATGATTTTCCTACCCCCACCACATGGTTTCCCTCTTTCCACTTTCTTTTCAAATTATCAATTTGCTGTCTCATCACACAAGAGACATGTTTCTTCTTCCTCCCCCATTTTCTTTGGATAGAAAAAAAATCCTCCGTGTTTTGTCTTGTGGAAGTACTTTTTAACTTTTTACATTTAAAAAGAGATACAAATCACCATTTCTTCTTCCTCAGTCCCAAAATGGCAATGGCAGAAGAAAGAAATCAATACTGTCGATCTCGGCTCCTCCCTCCATGATGAAATCATTGTTATGTTTACGAGTGCACAAGGGGGAATTCCCATTCACATGTTAAATTGGGCTTCTTTACACATCTCTATGTGGGGAACTGAAAAAGAAGTTTATTGCTAATTGGCTTAAGCAGTGTAGAAAAAAACAACACTTTAGAAATGGTGAAATATAAGCTTGCATCATGCGATGGGCTCTGTCGGTAGCTGTTTCTTAAATTTGTAGATTGCTGATTTTATTGCGTGTGATGAAGTCCATATTGGGCGTTTTTTTTTTGAAGTTATAAGTCCCCCTCTTTTTACAAGAATAAAAAGTAACATTAACCTCAAATCCCCAAACCCAACCCAATCCAACCCTCACCGAAAGAAAAAAAAACCCCACATTTAAACATTTTAAGATACCTATAATCAGGTATACAGTTTCCATACCAAGTTTTACAATGGAACTAATTCTCAAAACATTGTGTATGCATTTTAATGTCTTAACTAATTCCTTGAAGATTTGGGTCTCCAAACAGGAACCAGTTACAAATTCTGAAAAAAAAACAAAATCTCTGCAAAATTAGTCATTTAGACAAGCAATTTGCAAGAAGAGATATCATTTATGTAAGGTTGTTCCACATGGGAGGGAGATCAGAATCATAAACCTATTGGAGCCTTCTACTTCCACCCTTTCTGAGTCTCTGGGGCCCAGCTGAACTTGGGTAATTTCTGGTCATTGCTCAGAATAGGCAGCTGATGTGTGCCTCCTCAACATTCATTGACTTGATGCTCTCCTTCCCAGAACTTCACTCAATTCCTGCTGCTACATGCCACAAGTCATCCTCTACATCAGGGGTGCTCAAAGTGTCCGTGAAGCATACTTAGGGGCTTGGATGTTCTATTTCAGACATGTTTTAAGGCAGCTTTCCATGCAGCTTCACATAAATCAAATCTAGACAAAGTTAAAATAGAGTAGCAACCATGACCCATCAGAAGCTGCTGTATTACAACTCCCATGGATTTTGCTAACTAGGATTGATATAATTGCTGACTTGATTGACTTATCTGGAAGCGCACAGTTATGCACCTCAAACAATATTATTGAGTCGTGATTGAGATTTCTCCAGGTTTGAAATATTGATTCAGTCATTTACCTGCAATCCAATTATGTTATGAAGATGCTTTCTTAGAATCTGGAAGACAAATTCCTCAAAGTGCTTCCTGTTAAGGATCCCATCATATTCTTGTCATATCCTTGCTGTGGGTGGGACCAGTGACAGAAGACGCGTAAGGAAGAATAAAATAAGAATAATTTAACAGCATTTCCCAGAAAATCAAATATTTGAATGAAGCCACAAACTATATATGCTTCCATCTCTATTTCTTTCTCTATCTCTCTTTTACACATATACACATAAAGACACATCAACCCACACACACAGTTAAGATGGTGATTACTCCCAAGCTTTGGAACGCCTTCTCTAGGAAGACTTTTCTATTCCAACAGGCATTTTTGGAATTGGTTCCAAATAAATAGTATGCTGTTGTTCAACTGTCATGTCATTTTATTAGAAAGGAAAAAACCTAACATATTGTTTTCTCACCTGTTTTAGTATAGACTGAAGCTCTCTGTTTGACCACAGGTCGGACAGTAGCAAGCGGGCTGCTTCAGCTGCTTTAGGATAGGATCTGTAGACAGTAAAGGCAGATACTTCAGTAAAAACAGAGATTTCTATGCAATTATTTGCATAAAATTATTGTTTTAATAATTGTTTTAATAATTACCCTAGTTTAATTATGTTTTTCTAAATTTTGTGTATTTTTAATTGCATAGTTTTTAAAGGTTGTGAGTTGCCTTGGGTCTTGGTTTCCAGAAAGAAAAGTGAGATGCAAACATTCATAATCATAACTGTGCACTGTATAAACTGTAACATTTCATTCAGCTCTTTAAGTGGAACTTGGATGGTCTGTCCTTTGTTAACAGTACTTATTTCAGTTTGGATTTTTGATTACTTGGTGTGGTTCAAACAAGTGGTTGTGATATTTCCACCTCCCTTCCTTCTCATCTATATTTATTTTTCACACAATGTTAAAGTTTAAGAACTGTAATAGTCAAACAGGTGGGACAGAGGACTGAAAATGATGTTTTGATAAGAAGTAGTTTAGGTACTTGGAATGTCCTACTATAGGCTCAGTGACACCAGAACATTCCCAGGGTTATCATTGAGAATGCCCACCCCGAAGCATGGTGGCTTCCACTTTAGTGGGATTGTAAACCAGGTTTTAGATGTAACTATAAAGAGGCACCATAGATAGCACCTTTGAAATTCTCACTAAAATCCAGAGCAGAATCACTTCCATTGTTGTGAGAACAATCAGTATTCACAGCTGTCCATTTTGCTGTTTCAGGGGTGAAAAACTTCCAAACAAAACTCTCCTAGACCTGGATCCAGATTTAGACTGGGAGGGAGGAGAGTCAATGTACATAGACCCCCAAATGCTACAAATTAGGAAATAGATTATGGGAAAGGATGGATGCAAGTGAAGCTCTTCTCAAGAAACACACGCACTGAAAAAATCACTCTTTCACCCTCCATCAAAGCCTCTTCTTTTTAGCAGTATCTCCTAAGTCTCCCGTGTAGCATTTCCCTAAGGACCAGAATAGCTACCTGGAGAAGGAATTGTAAGCTTTTTTATCCATCTCCAATATGTAATACCTAAAGCTGGCCTTATGATAAGGTACTGATACTGCTCAAAACAACTTGGAAAATTGGTTTAGATTGCAAGATTTCTCAGCAGTCTACCACAAAGCATTCTAAAAAGTAGCCACCATGTGACAGTTTTTCACAATATTAATAAATCTGCAAAATGTATGGATGCTACATTAGACCTGATTAGTATGAGTTATTCCTGATACGCAGCATACTTGCCAATAATATATCTTTGTATACAATGTATAAACAGGGCTGGGCAAGCTCTAAAAATGGTTGTAACCCTCCCTTATTCACCATTACTTACCCATTTCGGCAAAGGCCCACAACATTATTTATCAAGCTGCCAGTCAGATAAGGCTTGGCCATCTGTGGGTTGGATATCATTAGGTTCCTCAGGGCATAGCAAGCAGATGTCATTGTGTCCCCATAGTTGGGGGAACCTGGGGCCGTGAGAGCTAGAAGACGAGTCACATCTGGGAGCACCTGGTGAGCTAAAATGGGTGACAGACTATTATTAAACAAAATGTTGTGACTGGACTAAATAAGGTCTAGAATCAACTCCTACAACAAATATTAGTCAATCTCAGAGTGGTAAGACAAGAGTCCACATGTAGCAAAGTGATCATGTTGAAAATGCCTCAGAATAAAGTACATGCAGATTTTCTGGGGGAAATCAAGTGCAGTCCAATTATGAGAGAAATTGTATCAGGGGAGAACCTCCTCTTGGTCCCACCTCCATCTCAAATCCGGTTGGTGGGGATAAGAGCAGTGGTTCTCAATCTGTGGGTCCCCAGGTATTTTAGCGTACAACTCCCTGAAATCCCAGCCAGTTTACCAGCTGTTGAGATTTCTGGGAATTGAAGGCCAAAACATCTGGGGACTCACAGGTTGAGAGCCACTGGACTAGAGAGAGGGACTTCTCTGCAACGGCCCCCCACCTCTGGAACTCCTGAAGGAGATCAGAATGGCCCCATCACTGCCCTCCTTTAGGAAGCAAACAAAAACCTTCCCTTGTTCCCAGGCATATGGAGATGTGAATGTTTAAAGATCTGGCTTATGAAAATGGAATGGAACATGGATATAGTTTTTAAACCCTGTTTTAAGTGACACCATGTAAATTGTTTTTGCTTTCATGTGATTTGTTTTATTGTCTAATGTGTTGTGTTGTTTATCTGATGTGTTTAATTTATTGTTGTCTTTTTTGCCATTGAATGTTTGCTGTTTTATGTTGTGAGTCACCTTGAGTCCCCATTGCACTCTCCAAAAAGCTTCAAATAGAATGCTTAAGAAATAGGTAGTAAAGCTTCAATTATTTTCAGTTGCATTTCAGACTACTGGATAACACAGCTGATTTTGAACAAATATGCTTAAAATAGTATGCATACTAGCAGCACTGACAACAAGAAATATTATAGAGTTTTGCATGTTAGTTCTGTTGCACATTAAAAATTATTGTGGTAAGGAGTGTGTATGGGCCAAGAAAAAAGCCACACAAAAATAAAGAGCACATACCCATAGTTTTGTGGAGAACAGGGTGTCGGGACATATTGCTCAATAAGGATGTTCCAGATCGGACAACTTCAGAATTGTTGGATTGCAGGAGGCGTGCTATGCGGGGCAAACCTTTCTCCTTTAAAGCAATCAGTTGACTCATTGCATTTGACATCTAGAGAACAAAATGATGCAGTACTTATTACAATATCTGAATATTTATTTTCTTTCTAACAAAAAACAATAAAGCAGGGAAAATACTTCTCACTTCAACAAGAGAAAAAGCACAGACCAGGCCGCAATTACTTATGAATTTGGGAACCATATTATCAATATTAGTCAAATTACTGATGTACTCATGTAAGCCAAGCTATGTACACACTCAAGGAAATACAAGAAAATTTTAAAAACACATAATGAGATCAGGGTTCACTAATGGTATATTGGGCCAATATATTATTTTTGTTATATCCTTTTTACAATGTCCTTTTTAAGATATTCTTTTTACAATGCTATCTAAATTTCTATCCATGAGTTGACTGAAAAGGTGATAAGCTATTCAGATTTCCTTGGACTCAGATCACACCCACTTCTTCCTTTTTGTTTCAGATGCCTAACCAAATGTGGCAAGTCAAAAACCGTGTTTACCAGTCCTCTGCTTGCAGTCAGATTTTGCAGAGCTCCAGCACAAGCCTCCAAGGTGGCATCCTTCTTGCTCTGATCCATTAGAGACAAATACGTGCGAATGGCATCGGAGTGGTACAACCAGCTGGACCCTCTGGGTTTATAATCCTCTTCCGGAAGAGGTAGATCAAATTCATCATACTAAACACAAAAAACACAAAAAAGAGGAAAAAGTGTAGAAGCTGAAGCTTTACAAAATAACCCTATTTCACATGATGATTAACCATGATATGAAAGCAGACATATATCTCAATGGCTTGGGAAATTCCTACATATATTAGGAGGGAGCAGGCTTGTTTTCTGTTGCCCTAGAGACTAGGATGAGGAACAATGGCTTCAAACTACAGGAAAGGAGATTCCACCTGAACATTAGGAAGAACTTCCTAACTGTGAGAGCTGTTCAGCAGTGGAACTCTCTGCCCCGGAGTGTGGTGGAGGCTCCTTCTTTGGAGGCTTTTAAACAGAGGCCATCTGTCAGGGGTACTTCGAATGTGATTCTCCTGCTTCTTGCCAGGGGGTTGGAATGATTAGAATCATAAATCCTATGATTCTATGATTACGTAGCTATGAATACCTAGATGCCCTCACTGTTTTAATTATTACTGAGATGCACATTTTCTCATATAAATATCTCTAAAAACTGGTCTTAGAATCATGGGTACTTTTAAATATATGAATAAAGTTCTTTTTCTGTTGGTGGTACTAAAATTAGTGTGTGTGTTTCAATTGATGATATCTTAGAATAAATGAAATACAGTATTATGTTGGTCTACATATTCTTAATTATTACATGTGATAAAGTAGCAAAAATTGGGGAAGACAGTCCGCTCTTGAATACATGAATACAATATATTTCAGTCTGTGAATAAAGCCTTTCTATATATTGAAACTTACCTCCATTTTCCCTCCTCTGTTATTGAAGCATCCTGTCAAGCTTTTGTCTGTGTAAGTGCTCCTGGCCATATGGTTAAGCTGTGTGTATTTATTCGGCACCTCAGCATCCAGGCGGTAAGACAGATTATGCAAGATACAGATGCAATTCTCCACAGACTAAAATAAAAGCCAACATGTATATCAGTATACATGCTATATTTATCTTAACTGACATTTAGTACATTCATGCATGCATTCCATGGGGCAGAAAAATGCTGAAGTTTGAAATATTATACTAGTTTTCAATGCTGTTATCTTTGTGCTAGTTAACATTAAGTTAACTAAGGAAAGAAGGTGAGAGAGCAAGATGTTCTTGAGCATAGGGCTTATTGCTATACCTGGAGATACCTCAAAGAGTTAGAATACATCATAAAATACTTGCTGGATATCTTTGGTGTAAAGTTCCTGTGAAAAGTCAATGTCACGTGGAAGGGAGAAATGACAGCAAGAAGACCTTAGTATTCCAGTTCTGAGACTACATATGGTCATGTTTCCAGATGCACAAACTATATAAGTGATTTGTCTTTAGCACGAAGCCTATTTTTTCTCTCTAAATGGCACGATGAATGATGCTAATAATCAGAACATGGAAATTAATCCTAATGCAACTTCCATCTTTTAAAGTCTATATTTAACATACCTTGATTTTTTTTAAAAAACATCTCTATTTTACACACCTCTCATTCTGAGCAACAACATCAACAACTTCTCAATGACACACTGTATCAGGTTAGACATCTCTATTAATTACACTAAAGATAGCCTATAGTATATATAGTTTACACCAACCTAATAAAATGCTTAATTAACATCCAGTCTGAATAAGTCCTTTGTGGAACTTGAAACCTTGCTTTATTATCCCATGATCTTTTAACTAGCCTTGATTGCAATGTTGTCCAATTGTAAGTTGTATCTAAGGGATTTGTGACCCATTAAGTAAGACTTCAATAACTGGTGAAATTACTGATGATATAGGATTGTATCCAGTGTGTGGAAGGCAGTTCCCTCATAACCCTCCCTCTCCTCTGCAGCCCTCATGTCAATCACCTAAAAGCATCTATTAAAAGTCAAAATAATAAAACAGGCATTGTGTACTTTTGTCATATTTGGATGTACTAGAAGGAAGGAAATCTTCAAAAAATCAGTGGTAGAATCACTTTCATTGGGACAAAATCATATGAATAACCCAGAGGCGGCCCTAGGTAATTTTCAACGGTAAGCAAACAGTATTTTGCCTCCCCCCCCCCCCCCAACCAATCACTGATACGTATTTTCTGTTCGTCGTGGGAGTTCTGTGTGCCATATTTGGTTCAATTCCATCATTGGTGGAGTTCAGAATGCTCTTTGATTGTAGGTGAACTATACATCCCAGTAACTACAACTTGCGATATGTCAAGGTCTATTTTCCCCCAAGAGCGCCTCAAGAGCGTCCCTGGGCAAAATCAACTATACTGCAAATGCTTACTTTGCGTAATGGGTTGAGCCGTCCCTGGAATAACCCATACTGTTCAATAGCGTCTCCCAACACTCTGGAACATTTTTTCAGTGAGTGCAGAGAAAGCCAAGCAATTATAATGGTGCAGGAAATTGTGTAAGTTCATATGACAACATCTGAAGTGAATGCAACTGATTGCTATTAAAATTGAAAGTGAGTTTACTGTTTTGATAACATTAGTCAAAGTTTATCAACTAGTGATTATTCTGCAACTGCCTGGTACCTTATCATCTGGTCGATTGGCAGCCACGCAGTTCTGGGAATAAGTCATTACAGAGTCAATCAGTCCAGGGTAGTTTCTCATGGTTTGGCGTCCAACATCTGCAGAACTCAAGTTCCTACAATCCATTTTATAAATCAGAAGAAGGAATAATCAAACAAACAAAGCAACAAAGTGATTCTTTTTCTAAATTCAGCAAGAGCCTTTGAGTCTTTGAGGCTAAAATTAATCTATACAGAGCAAGCACAGAATATGTTAATGAACAATGCCACAAAATAGTCACCTGTCATTTTGATTTTTCTTGAAAGATTAAATAGGAAGAATCTAGAGCAATCTAGAGCATAATGGTTGAAAAATGTTGGATTCAATTAATTCTTCAGATTAACATATCACTGATTTGATTGCAATGCCACACTATTTCATTGTCTTTGATTGTGTCTATACACAAAAGGGGTTTACTTCCTCCTTATCCATGGATTCTGTACCCACAGATTCAACCACCCATGGATGGAAATTTTAAAGTCAGAAATCAAATCTTATTTTTGCCATTGTATACAAGGAACACTATTTTACTGTGTCATTGTATATAATAGGACTTAAGCATTCACATATTTTTGATGAATGGTCTTAACACCTAGATTCTATTGTATTGTCTTTAGGTACCAGGTAAAATATCTATCTCTACTAGGCATGGGCAAACTTCTGCCCTCCAGATGTTTTGGACTTCAACTCCCACAAATTCTAACAGCCTACTGGCTCTTATTTATTTATTTATTTATTTATTTATTTATTTATTTATTTATTTATTTTGGGCTTTTATATCCCATCCTATCTCAACCTCCAAATGGTGGCTCTTAGGAATTGTGGAAGTTGAAGTTCAAAATGCCTGGAGGGCCAAAGTTTGCCAAATCATGCATCATACTCATGCATGATTTTCAAAACATTTTAAATGCTTTGGGTATTTTAAAAGCTGGTCACTATCATCTATGGCCTCTCACAGGCTGTTTGTTTTGTTCACACCTTTTACCCACTCTAGTTGTTGCAAACCAACATGAAATACATACAAAAGACAGATTATATCTGCTGACTTACCTCAAGCAGCCAGTGGCATTGAAGAAAACCTCTGGGTCAACCATTTCTCTTGATCTGTTACTAATACCATCAGACCATCCAGAAAAAGGAATAATCACACGATCAGTCAGAACAGGGAGAGCATCATGTATCAAATCTTCTTTCAGTTCATCAGTGGATGAAAGGTTCCAGAGCAGACCTAGAAAGGACATGGAAAAGACACATTGTTGCAGCATCCTATAAGTCTCACTGAGATTCAAGATACAAGATATTGTGCATATTGTCAAAGCTATTCTCTAAATATGCAATGTAAGATCCTGCATGTCTTTAATTTAAGGTGATATTGAAAGCCTCTGTCCCTTATTAGGCCTAAAACTTGACATCAGAATTACAGATTTAAATTCTGGTTTGCTGAAAATATGCAGTTATTATTTTGTTAATAAATTAGATGTATAATCTACTTAAATAAAGTAATTAATAAAGTAGTTAATAAAGTAGGTAAAGGTAAAGGTAATCCCCTGACACTAAGTCCAGTCATGTCTGACTCTGGGGTGTGGTGCTCATCTCCATTTCTAAGCCGAATACCCAGCATTGTCCGTAGACACCTCCAAGGTCATGTGGCTGGCATGACTGCATGGAGCGCCGTTAATAAAGTAGATGACCCTTTTAAACAAAAAATTGGTACCCAAGGAAAACAATAATTTGGAAATGATATGGATAGGTTCCTACATCACAAAAAGGAACAAGAGGGGAGCAATATAACAGGTTACAGAAAACTTTTCATTGAAAACTAGCAATGTGTACCTGTGAAATGAAAGCAAGTAGGTTAGGTAAGCCTTGCATAAATAAACAAAGATATTGCAAACCTTTTAGAAACCATCTTGCAAAAGGCATCCAGGGATAACTTTCCTTTCTCTAGCCATTTTCACCATCTTTCAAATGCTTATATTGTTAAAATGCTTCCAGTTACACCAAGGGTGTCAAACTCATTTTTATCAAGGGCCATATCAGCCTTATGGTTTCTTTCAAATGGCTGTTAAATCAATGGACAGAGAATCCATGGCTACAAAGGGCCAACTGTAATTTTTTTTACATAGTAGTTGGTGCACTTTAGTTTTTACCCTATTTGGGTCCCCATTTGTTAGTGAATGGAAACTCCCATCACTTTTTTTTCGGGGATGGATTTATTGCTAATCACTTCTGATTCTGTGCCATGAGGACAGGGGATAATGGAAATTGAAACCCAACGGCACTTGTGTCTCTGAGGTTAGGGAAAAGTTAAAGGACATTTTAAATTCAGACATCGTATCACATTCAGACATCATAAACTGAACAAACTGCAGCCTTGAAGATGTTACTGTATCACAATTCCCATCATCTCTGGTCATGATGTCCAATGATGAGGTATACAGGAGTTGTAGTCCAGCATTTGAAGGGTCACATAAAATGACATGGAGGGCTGGACACATGAATTACCCATAGAACAAGGATGAAAAGGTGGGCACAGGCAGAAGTAAAACAAAATGTAAAAAATGAGCTTTTATGTCAAGGGTTTATTAAATGGGATGTACTTGCATACCTTATTTAAAAAGTAGTGGTTACATTATAATTTACTTGCTGCAGTTTATCAAAAGGCATAATCATGTTTGCTTCTGCTATGGAAACATCAGCTGAACTTTGAAAAGTAACATAACTACAGAATTCAAAATCCTTTCATCACTTGAGAGCTCTACTAGTTCCCTTTAAAGGCTAGAATTTAGATGCCTCAAGTAGAATTCATGCTCTGATTTATTTCTCCAGTTGTTTAAATATTCTTTTACAAAGAAGAAAAGTACCTGTCAGCTGCTTCTGTATTTCTGTATTTCCAGTCCTCCTCAGAAGGCTCACACACTCCCGAATTCCATTCTGCCGACGGGTTTCTAACTTGTTTGTTGGGTTTCTGAAGACTAAGTTTCGAAGGGCTCCAGCTGAAGCCTGCTGCACATTTTCATCTGGGCTACGGAGAAGTTCAATGAGCTTGGAAATGCCACCAAGTCGGTAGACCTAACAAAGAAGACCGACATTCCTTATAAACCCAACAGAGAAGTTCAATGAGCTTGGAAATGCCACCATCCTACAAATAATAGTAGCATTCACTGACTGTACAGCTGAGAGGAACATTGTACAGATTGTGGCATTCTGGAGTATTACTTGAGACCTAACATCTTTCCTTAGTTTGAAATAATATTTTATGTTGTTGTTGTTGTTGTTGTTGTTGTTAAAGTAATTTAAAAACAGGGTTTTTATTGCATAGCAACAGAGATTTTGGAGTATATGAAAACTACTACCTGAATCAAGGGCTGTTCTGTCTCACTGGCACTCAAATATCATATTGATAATATTTGTAAACTATATTTTATTGTATCTTATTATAACTACAAAACAAATGTTTTATATGCATATGATATGCATTTGAATTAATTAAGATAACAATTTCTGCATTTACTAAGTCCTTAGGAAGTGTAAATTTGGATATTCAGACCCAAATGGTTTCCAGACAATAAGAAAATGATGTGCAATAATGTGACTCTGTGGCCATTCCAGGTCTATCCAAAGTATTTATAGCCACACCACTAGATTACCTCTTAATGTTGAATGGACAAGATTCCTCTTCCCAATCTGACCCTCAATTCTTTCTGTTGGAGCTACAGAAAAAATGAGTTCTGACATAATTCCACATATTGAAAATTCTGTCCATAAATCCACATAAACCTGAAGGATCATTGTGAGGAATAATTTACCTCCTGCTTGGCAGACTCATCTTGAAAACAGGTGTGCTGGAGGTAGTAAGCACCTGTGGCCTGATACTTCTCATCTGAGGCACACAGGAATTGAATGGCTTTCTGGATGGTCATGGCTCCATAATCCATCTCATCGTGGGTAATTCTAAATATGAAAAGATCACATTCATCAGTTGTATGAACTTTAAGAGTTTTTGATCTCTCAGCAGCTTTCAGTACCATTAAATATGAAACGGTCACCCAATCCTAGTTGGATGGCCAATTTGAGAAGTGTTTTCCTTGACTTACTGGGAACACAAATGTGCAGATCATGGCTTCAGGTGAAGGAAGAACAGGTGCCTGGTGTTTAAATTTCCTCAGAAGCCCACAGTTTTTTTCAGACTTATGCTCAGAACAGGTAAACTGTCCCATTACTTGTAGCCCAGTTGACTGATGCAAGCAGAAAATTCAGTTAGATCCAAACAGACTTTATATGAATTTATTTCTCCATCATGGCAACAGTGAATCAGTTTCAGCCATTGTTCCTACCCACCAGCCATCACTGGGAAGGGGTGCATAGATAATTTTTTGTGAGCAGTAACATACTGATAACCTTGATTGTTACAACATTTAGCATAGGAGGGCAGATCCAGTTTGTGAGATACAGGGTACATAGAGTCCCATTATAGGACCTTGGAGATAGTGGTAACCAGGTCACACATAGGGTCCTTCCTCACAGCCATATAACCCAGTATATCAAGACAGAAAATCCCACAATATCTGCTTTGAACTGGGTTATCTGAGTCCACACTGCCACATATTCCAGTTCAAAGCAGATAATGTGGGATTTTATTCAGCTGTGTGGAAGGGGCCCTAGATGGCTCTGCCTCACTCCAAAGTGGCAAGAGGAATCACAATGCAACTTTCAGCCAAATGAATTCCTGCATCTATCTTTACAGGAATACTGAGCAGGAAGACCAGGTGAATGGGTTTCCTTTGGCCAGCAGGAACACTGATGCATGGAATCAGAGTTGAGCTATGCGTAAAATCAAGACAACTGTAACCAATACATTTGTGGCCTTTTCATTTCCAACAAAATGTAATCTGAGCTCATTCTTCCTAAAAAAATAATGTCCCATACTTAATCACTGGTCTTGGGATTTCATGCAGGAAGATAATTTCTGGGGCATTGTAATGGTCCTGCAAGATTCTGCTCTTTTTTCCCTTCATGCCATTCAACAGCTATTTGAAACCACTGGACGATGTCATCTTTAGATATTTGAAGTACTAGCACTCTGGTGATTATAGTTCTGTTTAATCCACCAAATATAAGATATATCAGTATCCTGAACTTGTTTCTAAACTCAGTTAAGAATTGTATGGGGGCCTAAATAGGCTCAAGTTCTCAAAAGTTGGTGTTGCTGTCTATCCACTTAAGAGGTAATTGTTCTGCAGGAACTGGGCACCCTCAGGTGAGGTTCAACAGAAACAATGAGTACCCCCACATTTTACTAGAGATACAAAATGCTTCTATCAGTCAAAATGCCTTTTATCAGTATAGACAGAAAAGCCAACTCATTATAGCTGATTATAGATTATAGGGTAGCGAAAGCTGTATTTGTTTTATTTGTGCTCTGGCATTTTTTTTGTCAAAATGACTATAATGAATTGGTTTTCCTCACCAAATGACAGATGGTATATTGAGGTTTGACACCAAAGTTACAACATTATTTGGTTGCTGCTAGAGGTGTGCAATTTGGCACAAAAGCATGCAGTTTATGGGTACATTGTCAGCTGACCCCTCATTCTGTTTACCGGGATTTTACTTTAATGGGGAGGGGTTTTGCCATTTTCATTCGGCAAAGATACAGCCCATTGGCTACAATGAGAGACTTTAAAGGCTCAATCCTCAGCCATTTTAAGCCTTATATGCATGAAATCTACCTCAGTTTTAGACCCCATTTAGAACTGCAGGCCTGCCAAGTTTTCAAAACAATTCACTAATCTACTATTTTTAAAGAATTATTTTAAGTTTTAACCATAACATTTTGTTTATTTATTTTTTAAAAAAGACAAACCACAAGAGACCATTCTGGGAGTTTAGTCGCCGGTTGTGTCCATCCTCAGCCAATCAAGCATGGACACCACCAGGCTTTTTATTGGCTGAGAAATAGAGAGAGGAAAAAGGCTTCAACTCCCTTCATGCTCCAAGAGGAACTCAGAGACTATTCAGTGCTTGCCCTATGCAAGTGCTGCTGGGAAAGAAAGTTTCCAGGGTCCTCTCTGTAGGAGGAGGGAACTTTCCAAGAAGAATTGGAGGATGCTGCTTCTGTCAGGAGAACATGACAGATCCCTGCCTCAGGTGTATTACAGACCTAACTCTTTTTGTCTGCAGAACTGATAAAACCTGGCTCTCTCAAGCTGTTTTGCTGGGCTTTTCGTTTCCCTCCTCCCCATTCTGTTTTCGGATATTATATAAAACAGCCCACCAAAAACTACAAATCATTTTCATTCAAACTGATTCATGCCCAAGCCTACATTGCTGCAATTTTCCCAGGGTCCACTTACAGTATCAGGTAAACACTCTTGTGCAAATAATAATAATGCCCAATGTGCTGGTCTTTGCTGGTAAAACATTACATGTTGGATTATGTGGCTTGATCTTTGGCTTTCTATCCTATTTTTCCCCAAGTAAGATGATAACTCTTTATTGTCCAACTATAGGAAGCATCAAAACCAAAAACCATATAAAATAAAACAAGTAGAAATTCCAGCCACTTCCCTACCAAGGAAATGCATTGTAACTATTAGAGCCTTAGATTATAACATGTACAGGATGTCAATCTCCAGAATAAGACGAAAATGTCCAATTCATTCCCCTTAGTGGACAATCCACTAAGCAAATGTTTAACCTGACCCTTCTTAAACCTAGTTTCATCTTTAATCTCTATTTTTGGACAAAATCCTCCTTTGACCTAATATGTGGATCCATTCACCTAGGCTAGATTGCAGTAAAAAAGTTCCACTTGAAAAGTCTTTTCAACCTAGTCCCATTAAACACAGCCACATCATTTCCAGTAAGTTGCTAGTTATACTGAAAGTCACACCCAGTTTAAGTTGAATGGAATAAGAATGTTTGTGTAATGAGGGTAATTAATTGCACAGATGGTAACTGTATAATTAAGCCAAGTGGAAGAGAATTTTTTGCAGCCCTTCTATTTTTAAATGGCTGCAAGGGCACAAACCCAGTTGTTAGTCCCAGTTGGAGTACACTTGTGCATTCTGTTGAATAATGAAGCTTAAATAAGATCAATTGAGTGGATGAAATCTAAGTAAATTCCAACTTACCATGTTTCCACTGATTAAATTTAGTTGGAACTTGCTATTGAATGGTATAGTGCTTTGAGGGTTAGACTAAGGACCTTATCATATTAGCCTGATGAAGCATCCCACTTTGCCTGGCTTCACCGCAAAAATGAGGGGCAGCTGGGTAAATCCATCACCCTGCGCACTGCTCCCTCACAGCGCTTTCTGTGTCACTTACCTCTCCGAACGCATCTCCACCTATGAACCGGCGAGGACGTTAAGATCGTCCGGGGAGGCCCTGCTCTCGGTCCCGCCGGCATCACAAGCGCGGTTGGCGGGGACGAGAGGCAGGGCCTTCTCGGTGGTGGCCCCTCGGCTATGGAATGCCCTACCAGCGGACATCAGGCAGGCCCCTTCGTTGCTGGTGTTTCGGAGGAGGGTTAAGACGTGGCTCTTTGAGCAGGCGTTCGGATAGCTGTGCAATTGCAACTAAATCCAGGAAGACGGCATAACTGAACAAGGAACGGTAATGGAATGTGAGAACGGAATCTGATTTTATGTGAGGCATTGATGTCTATATGTGTGTCGTTTGTGTATGTTTGTCTTTACATTGTTAGTGTGCACAATTTTTACTGTAAACCGCATTGAGTCGCCGGTCACGGCTGATAAATGCGGTATACAAATAGCGTAAATAAATAAATAAATAAATGGGGGAAGAGTTGCCCAGGCAGTGCAGAAATGTACTGGCTCCAATGGAGCCAGCACAACACAAGAAGCCTCCTGGGTTGAGCAGGAAGCATTGTACAATGCTTTCCCTCCAGTTGGAGGAGGGTCTCCACAGGAAGTTCCCTTATGTCATGGGATGGGCATCAAGCCCATTCATCCTCCAACTGGAGAGGAAGCATTGTAGGATGCTTCCAAATGTAAATGTGATGAGATAGTAAGACTCTGTAGATGAGGGTTCAATACCCCACTCAGTTGTGGAAACCTACTGGGTGACCTTGGGTAAATCACAGTCTCTCACTCTCACAGAAAGAAAAAGGCAATCCATTCTGAATAAATTATGCCAAGGAAACCTTCTGATAGGTTCACTGTGGAGTCAGCATTAGTCAGAAATAACTAGAAGGCACACAACAACAACAACAACAACAACAACAACAGCAACATGGTCAGAACTCATGGTAAGTTTGCCATAAACTACACTGACTTGAAAGCACATAACAACAACAAGAAATAAACTATCACAAAATCAAATCCTGTGAGGGACAGACCACCCATGTACTTACTTATATATAATCTAGGGCAAGACATCGTAAAACGTTTCCACTGACAACTCCTTTCCACCCAAGACATTTTATGTGACCCTGAGTATATAGATGTAAAGTCAAACATTAATGGTAGTAAATCAACATCTGCAAGGCTTGCTAAACAAGTTGATTGTTCTTTTTGTGAAGTACAGTTGAGGCATTTTCTGCATAGTCCACTGTAAATGCTGCACTCTGTTGCTAACAGATTTGTGTAAATGGATGGCATTCAGAAACCTTTTACTGTTGCCAAATTTTTATGACAGCAACATAGAGCTCAGGGGACCCCATTTGGGATCAGAGCCACAGTTTAAGAAGACGTGATCTAGGGAATGCAGAGCCAATTATGACTTCATCACATTAACCTCCCCCCCCCTCCAATTTGTTTCTGTTTTGCGGAACGCCACTCGCCAGCCCTTCTTTCCTTATCACATGGGGATATTGGGAGAAGGTGCATTGGTACCCTGTCCCTTCCCCCATCAAATGGGGGAAAGAATGACATCACATGGGAGAAGTCCCCCAAAATGTGGGTAGCTCCATTTGAGCTACCCAAAAC